TGGAATAATTCACTTTCAAAAGCAGTGATTTCACATTACGTGATAGTAATTAATGTATTGACAACTGTAAAATTTTCTTATTTAGTTTCTTAATCAGTGGCCCAGAGCACTCTTTAAGAAAATCCAATTGCAAAATAAGAGCTAAAAAATTATGTACTGAATTTTGAATGTTGACAATCTTAAGTGCGTAAATAAAAATAAAAATTTGGTGCAATTGAAAATTTATCATTGAATGTTATTCATTTACTACCAAACATGGAATTGTGATTCCTATTGATAGGTTTTAACAATATAATCAGGAAGAGTCTAATTATCATTAATTATTTTTTTTAAGTGAACGAATTAAGTAACCATTTTCTTAATTACTTAACACATTAATTGAATTTCTCTCTTAATTCAATGTTTCAAGTGAATATGATAAATAGGGTTGTCAAAGAAACTTAAATTCAATAACCACTGAACTTTTCTTTTGATAATCTAGGGATACGAGCTTAGAGACCCAATTATCCAAAGGCTTATGAAACACCCTCAAAGCCACATGAGCCGATTAAGTTCAAACGTTTTAACCTATGCAAGTAGCCATGACTTTGAGCAATTTGCACGCAGTTAATGGGATTTAAGCGGATGACCCCCAGCTCTTCACTTGAAATTTTTTTACCGAAACTCCAACTGATTTTGCTAACTCGAGGGTAGGCGAGGTTATTGCTGAATTTTCATTTTCAGCACTAGATACAATTATCAAATAGGCCCTAAGTTCACAGTGAAAACAATAAACTGATTGGCTGCAATCCAAGAGTATATATATAGTAACAAATATTATCACTTCATCATTGGTGAGATTACAAGGTTAGAATTTCTAATCAGGCGTCTTCGTGCACTCACAAAAACTACAGATAGGTATCACGATCGCAACCATTTTCATGTTCCTATCGTAGCACACCATACACTGGTTTCTTCTCCTTCTAATCATCTTCCTCGTATATATGCATATACATAGGGAAACTGTCACGCCCCGAGCCCCCCACGGGCTCACGACACCCCTCCGAAGGTCGTATTGAACGCAACGTCCCAGGACGCGTCGCCGACCCAAACGAAACACCCAACAATAAAGACAAGTGAAAGCGAAATAAAAACAACCCAGACAATAAAATAATGACCAAAGGGTAGCACTACAGCATTCACAAATACACAACATCAAAAGGGAACAGTGATTGGATATCCTACTTCACTATACAAAAGAGGGGCACAAAAAATATGGGGTAACTTGACCCGTCCTCCATCCCCGAGATACCCTGCTGGCATCTCCAATCAATCACGGTCGCGGATATGAAAATGGTTATATAATAACCGTGAGAACAAGTCTCAATAAGCAACACCCTAAACCCTACCTAGGCCAATGCGTACCCAGACGAGTCTCAACATGCAATCTAACAATCGACATACTAGAACTCACACAAACATACATACCACGCCTCCATTCACACGCCAACTCTGCATAATAGTCAAATCACATTAATATATCCAGCATAACACATATTCAGAGCACGCAAAGAAATTTCCCATGCATCATACAACAACACTTGCGCGTGTCTCGATTATAAGGTAAAACCACTTGGGCACGTCCCCATACCATGCCTAGCAGTATTCACCCCATAATCAAACACTATGCAACATGTGTGGTCCAGCCAACTTTCTCACGACCTCCCAGGTCCTTTCACACTGCCCGCACCACTGCGCCTCAGGCCCAATCTCACAGTCCGCGCTACTGCGCCTCAGGTCCAATCTCACGACCCGCGCCACTGCGCCTCAGGTCCATTCTCACTGCCCGCGCCACTGCGTTTCAGGCCCAATCTCACAACCCGCGCTACTGCGCCTCAGGCTCAGCCCTCCGATCAATCCGGACTTTTCTCATACACATGCACCACAACACCATTCGCCATTCTCACACGTCGTACCAATCAAACTCAAGGCATGCTCACCACATCACAACTCGCCATTCAACACGTCGTACGTATCCAAATCACATCACGAGCCCATCATACTAGCCCACAAATCCGGCACTCAAATCGGCCCAATCAAATATCAATTTCATCCACAACGCCACGACAATTCGATCATCGCACCCACCTAAATTAGCCACTAGACATGCCACATAATCACCACAATTCAATTCACCAATTAACCACATTTATAAATTGGCCATAACCCAAATTTAACAACTAAGCCGGTACTAATCACACCCTAAACAAGTTTAAAAAAATACCCATTATACTAAGTAGGGTTTAGGAAGTCACTTACTTAAGTTTGGCCCGGGAAAAATTGGCTATGGCCCGAAATGGCCCGGTCGGAGCGGCGGTGACTCGGCGCGGGCGAGGGCGCGACGAGCGCAGGGCTCGGCACACGGCTCGGCACACGGCCCGGCGACTCGGCGCGGCGCTCGGCAACGGGCTCGGCCACAGGCAAATTGCTCGGCCGCGGCAGGCCACGGCAACGGGCACGACGGGCGACGGGCCACGGCTGGGGCAGTGGCCTAGGCTGAGCAGGCAACGGCTCGGCCACGGCCCGGGCAACTTGGGGTGCGCATGGAATGCATTCCGGAATAAAAATTCTGTTCCGGAATGCATTCCGGAACAGAATGACATTTGTTAAAAAATTTCCGGAATGCATTCCAGAGCGATTTTTGCATTCTGGAATAAAAATGCGTTTGTTAAAAATACTTGATTCCAGAATGCATTCTTGATTCCAGAATGCATTTTTGATTCCGGAATGAGTTTTTGGCAAGAAAAAGAGAAGCTACTTTTTGTAGCTTCTTGATTTCGGAATGCATTCTCCCTATTTTCTCATAATTTTTTTTTTTCAGAAAATGCATAAAAATTGAAAAATTCTAGAAAAATTCATAAAAATTTCCAGAAAATAAAAAAAAGTCAGATTTCGGGAAAATATGAAATTTGGTGAATTTTTTTTAAAAAAATTAAAAAAATCAAAAATTTCAAAACTTCACAGAATAGCTTAAAACACATGTGGCCAGCCACTTTTAGTGAAATTTAAATTTTTTGAAGTGCCAAAAAAAATAAAAAATTTCAAAACTTCACAAAATGGCTTAAAATACCTGTGGCCACCTACTTTGAGTGAAATTTAAATTTTTTGAGGTGCCCAAAAAAAAGAAAAATAATAAAATAATAAAATTTTTCAAAACTTCACAAAATGGCTTAAAATACCTGTGGCCACCCATTTTGAGTGAAATTTAAATATTTTGAGGTGCCCAAAAAAATAATAAAAAATTTCAAAACTTCACAGAATGGCTTAGAATATCTGTAGCCACCCACTTTGAGTAAAATTTAAATTTTTTGAGGTGCCCATAAAAATAAAAAAATAAAACAATTCAAAACTTCACAAAATGACTTAGAATACCTCTGGCGACCCACTTTGAGCGAAATTTAAATTTTTTTAGGTGCCCAAAAAAAATTTAAAAAAATCAAAAATTTCAAAACTTTACATAATGGCTTATAATACATGTGGCCACCCACTTTGAGTAAAAATTTAATTTTTTTAGATGCAAAAAAAATCAACAAATCAAAACAGATTTCTGGAGCAGAATTAGTCATGTTTTACCAAACAGATTTCTCCTCCAGAAATCAATTTCTTGCAAGAATTCCAGAAATCAATTTCTGGCAAGAATTTGATTTCTGGAGTAGAATGGTTACCATTCGCACCCTTGGCCGCGGGTTGGCTGGCTGGCTGGCCGGCGAGCTGCGGCGGCGACGGCGACGGCGACGCGGCGGCAACGAACTGAAGGGGAGGGGGAGGTAAGCCTGGGGTGGTGATGGCGAGAGAGAGAGAGAGAGAGAGAGAGAGAGAGAGAGAGAGCGAGAGAGATGGGGGCTGAGGGGGAGGCGACGGCGGCGAGCTGGCCGGGCAAGCTGGCAAAGGGCGAGCTAACCGGCGAGCGGCGACGACGGGGACGACTGGGCGACGCAGCGGCGATTCGCGGCAGCGGCGGCGAACGGCACGGGACGGACGAGCTCGGTCCGGCGAGCTACCAGGTGCGCGGACAAGCGAGCGGCGACGGCGACGAGTTGAGCTGGGCAAGACCGCGGCGGTGAGCTGGACAGCGGAGCGGAGCAAGACGGCCAGGTGGGCAGCACCGGGCCGAGACAGGCGCGGCGGGCTCGAGCAGCAAGCTGGGCGCGAAGGAGAGGGAGAGAACAGTCGGTCGGGGGAGGCGGCTGGACGACGGTACGGCGCGGCAGTCGAGCTGGCTGGCGACGGCGACGGCGGCGGCGCGCGGCGGTCAGGCGAGCTCGGACGGTCGAGCAGGAGCAAAAACAGAAGCAGACGCAGAAGCTGGAGCAGTCGCGGCGAAGGGGAAGGGAAGGAGAAGAAGAAAAGGAAAAGAAAGAAGAAAGAAAGAAAAAGAAGAGAGAGGGAGGAGTGGACGTGCATGGGGGAGAGGGGGAGGGGACGCGCGGGCAGGGGGGTATGGACGGGCGCAGACGCGGCAGAGAGGAGAGAGGAGAGAGAGAGAGAGAAAGAGAGAACAAAAGTCAAAACTTGTTCTCGAGTGCGATCCAACAGTCACGGTTCAAACCCAAAAACGATCCAACGGCCCACGAAAATTCTAAATAATAAAATAGGAAAAAGGGCCAAAAGAAATCAAATAAAACACACTACGAGAGAGGTCTACTAGTTCAAATCCGCACCCGGTCAAAAATCTACTTTTCACATATCCCGGGTAATATCGAGGCTGGCCACAATAATATCGATACCGTCCAATTAAATTCGTCCCGGAACTCTAAGAGATTCGACACCAAAGTTTGGGCTCTAAATAACGGCCAAATTCGATCGAGTGCGATTCTAACGAAATCTCTAATTTAAAAATAATAATCGGAGAGTAATCAATTTCGGACGAGATTTTATTATAAGCGCACTGACGAAATACACGTTTTATAAATCCCAAAAATGGGCCGAAATTCGGAATGTCACAGAAACACGATGATCAGCAAAATGCTCATTCGAGTCAATATAACCATTCGGGTGTTCGATCCTTATAGAATATTTCCCACTATAGATCATTAGTCTTGAATTCAGCGAGCTTGCCGAGCCCTTCCACCTCCTTCGCCAGCCCCTCCAGCTTCTCCACCATGTCCGTGAGCAAAAACACAAAGGTCGAGATGGCGAGATCCTCGCCTGAGTTGCACGCCTGGGCGAGCTTGGAGGGAGACATGAAGTGCCTCAGTTCAAGCCTTGTTGACTTGAGCTTTGGCAAGAGCAGTGCTTCTGATTGGCATCTTCTCATCTTCATGAAGCTCTCCCCAAGCTCTCGGAGAGTCCATGTGAGGGATGACGCGACCGATTCGCAAGGTTCCTTGATCGACTGTCTTAGATCGGCGGCCGGCTGATAACATGAACGGTTGGTTCAGTAAGACAAGAAACTTTCGAAATCAAAGGAAGAACTCCTATGAATTGGAATTTGAAACCGCATGACGGTTTAATTTTTTGAAAAATTGTTAGTCGACTAATATGGTATTAGAGCCATGTGTTGAATTCGAATCTTGACGCTCCTCATCTTTCTCTTCCTTTATTCCAGTTGAAATTAGGAAAAAAAACCAATGGGAGGAAGAAGAAGAAGAAGACAGTTGAGGGTCAGGTGAAGTACCTGCCTAGAAGACTGAATACAAACTTCAAGTGAAACAATGATGGCTGCTAACTCCCTAAGAAGCTCTCCAATCTGTAGATACTTGTCCCATGGATAACACAGCCCAAACTTCCCATGCCACGGTTCCCATTTCGCAAAATTCGCCTGCGATAGCATCGCCAATTCTATAAATCCTCAAGCTCGAGCAAGCACGCTAGAGTAAGCTTGAGATGAATCGACCGAGCTACAACAGATTGGGAAATTAAAGAGGGAAAAGGAGACCTACCAGGGACTCGTCCTTTGCTTTCGAATGCAGAACCGATTTGCAGATTTTGAAGCTTCCGTCGGCCTTGTTTTCCTTATCGGCCACCACCCCAAAGTACTTATCCAATAGTCCTGCCATTAAAGTCGACAGACAATAGTCAATCATATGTCACATTAATTACAATCCCCCTGTCGTGAGATGTTTTAAACTTATATTGCTGATGTAGTCATGATTTGATTACCTTCAATCGAACAAGCAAGGTGTTCGAATTTGCAGGCGATAGATACGTGAAGTTCGTCACTAGCCCAGTTAGGGAGGACGAGAAAGCTCGTGAAAATGCAGATCACGAACCCCATCACAATCGATAAGAGGCGCTCGCGGGCGATTCTCATGACCTCTCCGGCTCGTAAGCCGGACACAACCACCAGATTGAAGGTGAGGATGAAGATCATGACACCGTAGTCATACTTCTTTATGCTAGGAACCGACCGAGCATATGTAGCCGCAACACCTGAGATTTAGCATTTTATTGAACCATATCAAAACTGTTAAAACTCTCAAAATATCGGAAATGCATACTTACGTACAGTAAGAGTACATAGGACTATGATATATATGCAACAGCACGACATAATCTTGACACACTTAAGAGGGCTAATTTTATGTAAGTTTCTTGCTAATAAATGGTGTTTCGTCGTCACGTTTGTTTCAGTATTCTGAACGTCTTACCAAAGATGAATACTGCGATGCCAACGACAACAGCGTTCCCGACCCCAACCCCGCCGATCTCTTGGGCAAAGACCGCCGCTATGCATCCGACCCCGCCACCCAATATAGTCCCCATACCGCGATTCAATCCCTTGCTCAATGTCGCACCTGATGAATCATACAATAAATCTCATTAGAACTTACTCCAATCAACATCACGAACACAGGAGTTCGTTAATCCATGGCTAAATAATGGGTACCGAACCTGCAGAGAACTCGAAGATGACGACAACGGTCATGCTAGCCCACATGGCATTATCCCCGACTTGGTTGTAGAGAGGATCGAGAAGGAAGAGAAGCGAGACCAGAACGAGCGCGACCCCGACCTTGACGCTATGTACCACTCTTCTCACGTCATGCTCGCCCTTCATTCCTCTCAGGAAACACACGACGGCCGAGAGATTATCCTCAAGGCTCTCCTTTTTCGCCATCTTCGGAGCTGCCTCTTCACCTCCATCTTGAATCGGGATCACCACGGAAGAGCTCATCGTGCAACCCAACCCTCTCGTTATTTATTTATTTTTATTTTTTTGCTCTATTTCCTCTGTGCTCCGACGCTCACTTGGTTTGATGGTGATGAGACCTCGAGTTGGTGATCGACCATTTATATACACACAATGCGTGAGCTCCCATAAATATATATTAAAAGGAAAAATCAAGAAAGATAATATAACTTTATATCTCGAACTCCATAGTGGACGCAGGCCTATATTGCACTTCTCTCCACCGGAAATAGCCCAATGACTTGAAACATGGAAGCAAATTATTCATGCCCCTTATATTTATCTGATTATTCGCCAAGCTTTTTAGTGACAGAAACGTAGTGGAACACGCTCGCCTGGCGCGAGTGTACCTTCGTCAGTACAGTAATGTTGGGCGATAGTCTTTGGCGACACTCACATCACACACGGGCGCACGCACACAAAATGTTGTAATTGCTCAAAATGCGTCGAATCACAATCGAGCTTTAGGTTCGAGAGTTGGATTTCACGTTTGCCAAACTACTGCAAGTAGACGCTGGCGTGGCACGAGTGTATCTTCGTCAGTACAGTAATGTTGGGCGATGGTCTTTCGCAACACTCCCATCACACACGGGCGCACGCACACAAAATGCTGTAATTGCTCAAAATGCGTCCAATCACAATCGAGCTTTAGGTTCGAGAGTTGGATTTCACGTTTGCCAAACTACTGCAAGTAGGGTTTCAAGATAGACCCCGCACGCATTCCAGTCCATTGAGCCATGATTTTGGTCTCACAAGCAGGGACAATGACCCGACTGAAGCAACTGCACTAAGGTGTCTTGCAAAATGAGCCAATTCTAAAGTGTAATTGACTTGTGTGTGCTAAGGGTTGCATGAGTGGTACGTTGTGTCACATCGTGCGAGATGTCTCGGTACGTGCGTGACTGTGTGGCCTGCGCTAGTATGAAGGACTTCTCGGTACGTGCATGATTACGTGGCTTGCGCTACTACAAAGGATCGAAGATGAGAGAGGAACACCTGAGAGTACTGGTGTGCACCAATTTTTGTTAGTATTCGATATCGAAATGTTGAATTATGAGTCAAACTTGATTCGTCGATTGCTTCTTTTTCTTTGAGGTTCTTGTACCATCTTCGTTGCATAAATCTGGTTATAGCGAAAGGTATAGCAATATGAATTGCACCTTACCAAATTATATCCGCTTCCTGTAATAGTCTACCAAATTATGCGAAGTTTACCCTCATGGTTTTGTTACCGACATTGGGAATATGCCTCAACGATCTCATTAGTCACTTTCCAACCTTGTCCACTGTTATGCAAATATCGGATACTGTTACTAATAAACCGGTTTAAATTGGGGAACTGGCTTTCAACCGGTTTTTAGCTTCTTTTTTGTTACTGCGTTTAAGAAAAGTATATACTAGAGATCGGTTTCGTACGTGGGAAGCCTAAAATTCATCAATGCCTTAATCATTATGCCTTGTTCACATATAATATTTTCCTAAAATTATAGTTATATTACTTAAAGTTGTTTTTCTAATATGTAGGCCCGGTTCGAAAGGTCGACCTTGGAACCGGCCGGTTCGGTTCTTGAGGGATCCGGCTGTGACGGACCGGAATCTACCCACCCTAAAACGATTGCCCCCGTAACCTATTACTTGCTATGCTTATTAGTTAAAGGTTTTTTTTTTTTTTTGGTCTTTTCTTACTTGTGCTTTCAGTATTAACTATTCCTTTAACTTTTATCCTCTTGAAATTACTAAGCCACTATTGGTCCCTGCTCGTTTTGGATCTTAAGCATCAGCATTAACCACTAATTCTCTAACAACCACCATCAGCTTGCACCCCTCCACTTGTCTTGTCCACCACAGGCTCTGATCTTACCCTTCTAATATCATGATGACCACACGAAAATGCAAAACTTGATGTTATCCATTTCACAAAAAGATAGAAGTAGATAGGCATTAAGGTCGCTGATTCGACTGAACGAGAAACCTAAAATGATCTAGTGTCCAATATGGTGTCTAGCTTACAACAGTTTACGCATGTCTATCATCTTCATGCACTGTTTTTTAATTATAAAAATATGCCGAGAATGCTTCTAGGATGGTGTTTTTCCTTGCAACGACAAATTCGGAAAATTGATTCGATCTAATATGAAGAAATGGGACCGGTCTAAACTTTTTCCCCAGTATAGACAACTTAATAGTTGATTATAAATTTAGAAATTGTATTGATTCAAGAATTGTATTGATCCAGACACAAGAAATGGAAATGCAGCTTGTAAATCAGACGTAATTACAATATTTTTTCTAAATATCGAAAAATTTTAATAGTGTTTATTTTATTAAGTGATGGGGCATCATCTCGTGAATAGGTTAAACAGCGAACTCGTGCAATGAACTCTTTCATCTGAAATTTTAATGAGTAGGCGCATCTTAGTGAACCAATTTCGACGAATTATCTCAAATATCAGTAGCATTAATTATCAAACTAGGTTTTCTAACTGTTGCCAAAGCTTGCAGATCTAAAGTAATTCATCTTCTGGCTAAAGTGATTGGCTATTGACCTCTGTTGATCCACTTAGGATAGAAAGATTACCTTAATTTATCAAAAAGGAAATCTGACAAGTCAAAAGGTAAATTAATTACCTTATGCTTTAATCGTTTTATGATATTAACCAGGAAAGTGCCTGAAAGAAGGGACAAAAGTTACCAAGTGCTGAATGTTCTCATCTTTGAGATGAAGAACAATGATGAATTAATTAATCATTTATTAATATAGGAAGTTAAAATAGTGAGGCCAATAACGAGGTAGTGACAGCACTTGCAATCTTTAGTGGGCGAACGCTATCTCCAGATGGGCCACTGGCTATTGTTCTTACGTGATAATGTTTGCTGCTCCTTTGGTGTGTATGGAACGTGTTTAGTGGTGTGTTTTCTTTGTGTAAACCCAATGGCAAATATCATCTATCCAATTATTAGCGGTAGACAAATTGGCCGAAAAAATTTCATTTCGTTTCTAGAGAAATATGACTGCCTTCGTTTGTTAGGGTGATGTTGAAATATACGTGTGAATTGTGTTCAAATAATAGTCCTACATAAGATCATACAAAAAAGATGCCTGAGTGATGAGATATTCTCTCCTGAAATGCTTCCCTCTCAAACTTCTTGCAACAAGACAAGTTCTAGGCGATGTGTTCTAATAGCTTATTATTCGTATTTTCTGGTAAATTCGTGTTTGCCAGGAGATTCCTCTCAAAAAGTTATGAGCACTCGAGAATAATATTTGGTAGACTCTTTTGACCAAACAAAACATATGGAATGGCCACCAAAATTGTTTCCTTTTTCCTTTTATAAAATCCAAATAATTCTACTTACCTTTTGCATTAGACATTACATAGGCCATCGATTCAGCATTGGCTAAGATTAAAAAAAAAAAGAGTGAAAATTGATATGGTATGAAATATTTAATATATCGTAGTTTGCTCAAAACTTATTGGCTCAAACTTTTAAGTGAAGGTAAATCCAACTAGATATATTGACATACTCGGATTTGGGATCCCTCTTTAGAATCTCCCTGGGTGAACGTATCGCATTTCTACTGTGCATTCCCAACAAATGGATCAAAGCCAATGGTTGATTATTGGCCCACTTCTAATGTATATTGATGTGTGGTGAATATCTTAAGGAAGAAATTTCATGACTCATACAGTTTCCAGGCAGCCTTTATGATTCGGTCTGGCAAAAGAAATCAAGGTGAAGGTCCGCATTGTGGTGTATCAACGCAGTCCCGATGGCAATTTTCATGATTTGGTCTAAAGAAAGAGACCGAGAATGAATGTGAGGTTAATTATTGCGGTCCCAACATGCAACAAAATGGAGATTCAAGTTGAGACATGTTTATACAAAAGGATACTTGAATTAAGGGAGAGTAGGCCTACCACTGAGCTCATATCTAAGAGGAAGATTATTGAGATCCAAGCATGAGTTCTATTAGAAAAAGTTTCGCATCAGAGATTTTTTTTTTTGCTCGAACACATCAAAGAATTAGTGTGGTGTAAAGTAGTTAATATATTCTAGTTAGTCTATAATTCATTGGCTTTAGCTTTTAGTGAAATTTTGTCCAACTAGATATATTGACAGGCTCAACATTGGGCCCTCTCTTAACAATCTCCTCGAGTAAAAGTATCATATTTCTGCGACACTCTCTCAACAGGTGATGCATTGAGAAAATTTAACCAATTTTGGGTTATGAAGCAAAGTCTTATGTAGTTAATTTGGGTCTCTAAGTTAATGGTTAAATTAAGATCTATAATTTCTTTTTCTGAAAATATGATCCATCGGCACGTCGAATTTCAACGACGGAGATGCATTTTTTTTTCTTATTAATTTTTCTCTTTTCCCTCTCCTCTTTCTTCCTCGAGCAATAGACCACCATGTCGTCGCCACTTCCATTACCCTATTACCACTTCCATACTTCTCCTTCACCAACCCTCCACCACAACCAAAATCATCACCACATGTTCTCTCTCTCTGACTTACTACGCGCGCCCGTTCACATATACAATCATCAGGTGACCTTCTTTTTCTCCCATAACTATGTCCCCTTAATGGACGATAGATTGTGTCAATTCAGTGAATTTGGTTTGAAGCAATCTCAAGATGTGAGTCAGTTAAGCTCGATCTGGATATTGATTTCCTTTTCACTCAAATTAAGCTTTAAAAGCACGTTTAACACTCATACCCTCAACTTATCTAGTCATGTCGGTCCTCCAAGATCAGTGGCTTTGCAAGTTTCTTACCGGCTCCTGACTAAACATCGTTCATCTATGAAAAAAGATATGTAACCCACAGTAGTTCTTCCTAGAGTATTGCAAAGCCTCTTGCAGTGAATCTCATATCACTATAAATAAAAAATAAACAAAAACAAACCCCTTTTCATCAAAGTGTACTCTCCACTTCGCATCATCCTCGAACCTTCATCTCATTAAAAAAAATTGAGGGCTATTCCAGCCACCAAGTGTTATATCTATAAGTCCAGCCACTAAGTGTAAACGAGGCAAGTGGAATGCAACGTCTCCAGATTATTACATATTTTATTCGAGCATGATGAATCATTATCAATTTTGTTGTGTACGAAAATGGTACGAACTGACGGGGT